CCAGAAAATTGGACTAGTGAAAACTTTCAGGCTTTAAAAAATACATTAAAGAATTGTTTACCTCATATCCGCTATTTCCAAATATCTGGAGATGACATTATTGATAATGTAGAACCATATCAAACGATCTTAGAAAAAGATCTTTGGAAAAACATGCTGAAAAGAATTGCGAACCCAAATCGACAAGTATCATCAATAGTTCTTCCACCTCGAATAAATTTAACACCAAAATTACCAACACGTACGACGGAACCATTTTCAACAGTTATCACTGAAGAACATGCAGCTGAAATTGCGACATGGATTGATAAAAAAGCTGAAACGTATTCAATAGAAAATAATCCGTATGAGTTCAAATTACTTCTTCGCGGATCCAGAGATGGTTTTACTAAAGAGACATTTTGGAAAATATGTGATAAGCAAGCAAATACTATTGTGGTAATGAAGGTTAAAAATACTGATGAAATTCTTGGTGGTTATAATCCTATGAAATGGGACAAATCAATTAAGAACAACATATATTGCAATGACAGCTTTATTTTTTCATTGAAAAATGCTACTATTCGCAAAAATATTTTAAGTCGTGTAAAAGATCCACGATATGCATTTTATCGTGGTTCTAATAGTGGCCCATGTTTTGGCGATCTTTACATGTTCGATAATTTTAATCAAGATTATGGATGTTGGTATAGTGGTTGGGGATATGAAAAAGCAATTAGAAATGCAAAAGGTTTTTTTTCAGTAACAGAATACGAAATAATCCAAATCCAACGAAAGTAAAAATAGGTTATTGAATACATGTGATAAGGTTAAATGTAATTAAAGTTCAGAAATTAATAAGTTTTTTTAATTAATGACGTATAAAACAGATTACGCGTATTGTTATATTTTTTAATGCATTGATTGATGACAACAACGGACTTAAATGTACTTGCAAAATATTTACAACCAAATTTCATAATTAGAAATATGTTATTTTTTTTGTAAGACTATTTGAGGTTTGAGAGGCTGTCTAGAAAATGAAACCTACGTATCGCCACCAATATCAGGTACATACGTAATATGTGCTTAAATGTATTTATGACCTTAAACATTTATTTAATCTACAATGATATTTTGATAAAATAGTGTGTTTCTTCGAACTTGGTAATATTTCTAAAATGGAAAGCACTCATTATACACCCTTACTAGTATGTAACCCGTCACTTACGTGCCGGAATTTAGATAAGTTTAAAGTAAATTAAATAATAAAAAGGATAATTTAAAAAGTAATAAGAATGGGATTTTAATGCAATAAATTTAAAAATAGAAAAGAATAAGAAATATATGTATAATTGTGATTAAGAGTTAGATAGATTAGCGGATTTTAGGTAATGAGGATTTTAGATGAAATTTTCATAATAGAGGTATAAAATAGAAAAAAAGGGAAGTAGAGAATAATTGAAAAAGTTAAAAATATATATTATGAAATAAGAAAATATAGTGATTTTACTGATAAGATATACAGTACTGAATAACAATTAAATAAGGTAGTTATAATAAAGTAAATCAAAATTAAATGAATTAAATCAAAGTAAATATGTAATATAATTTAATAATAAGTATGATTTTATTAAATAAGTATGATTTTATAAATAAAGTAATATAAAATGATAGATACAGTTGAATTTACAAAAAGAATGCATTAGTTATTTAAAGTGAATAGTACAGAAATAATAAAATACTTTACTATAATATAAATTAGTTATAGAGAATAAATTATTGTAGCACTTCCGGATAAACAACGTTTTGAGTATAACCTTCTTCTGCATGTTGATTTGTTAGTAAGAATTTAAGGCCTTGTCTGGAAGTTATTCTGGAGCAAGCAACATAAAGTTGGCCGTGAGAAAAAACAGGAGTCGGTAAATAAACGCCTACACGATTTAAAGTTTGACCCTGTGATTTATTAATAGTAAATGCAAAAGCTGGTTGTATAGGAAACTGGCAGCGGGTGTAAATAAAAGGCAGATGTGTATTGGAAGGGGTGAGAGAAATGCGTGGGAGAAAGGTACGTAAGCCAGCATTTTTTCCAGAAATGAGTTGAACTTCAATGACGTGAGGAGTAAATGCGCAACAAATTAGACGGGTTCCGTTACAAAGACCTTCTGAAGTATTGATGTTGCGGAAGTATAACAGGAGCACCTATTTTCAAAGTTAGTTTATGTGGAGATAAGCCGCTTATGTTTAGACTATTTAAAAATTCAGTTGGGTAAAGGGGGGTGACATTAGAGTCTGCTGTTTCTTCGATACTATCAGCGCTTAAATAATCTATTTCATCACCAGGGAATAAGTTCATAATAGTGGAATTAATAAAAGCAACATCAGTATTTTTTGGTGCCAGAATTCCTCGTTCTAATAAATAAAGAGAATTAGTAGAATTTGATAAGTGATTAGGGTAAATAAAATAGATTAAATTGTGTAGATTTTGGGAAGAAATATAAAGATCATTAGGAAGTTTAATGTAATCGCTTCTGTTTGCATGTCGTTCAACATGATCTTCCCCAATTTGTAAAAGCCAAGAAGCGAAATGTTGATTTGAGACAGAAGAAAGTTCATTTCCGGCTTGTTGTAAGTGCATATTAACAGTTAATTTCATTACTTTAACATGGCGCCATAAATAAGATCTCAATAAACAGGAGCCAACAATATACTCTCTTCCTCCCTTTGGTACAACAGGTAAGATTTGGTGAAAGTCTCCCCAAATACACCAATTTTTCCTCCAAATAGTTGATATTGTAATGAATGATCTAGTGCTTTCATCAAATCTTTAAGCATTTGGGGTCTTTGCCTTGAAAATCAAATATATGACATATGATTTACTATGTCCCATAACTTGATTTTCAAGGCAAAGACCCCATTTTATCAACAGCTTCAGGTGCATAGCGATTAGCCATAGGAGCTTCATCCCAAAGGATAAGACTTGTTTGTTGTAAAAGAACAGATAAATCGCTGCCATGAGGAATATTACATGTCGAATTTTCATTTAATTCAAATAGAATTTTAAAACGGAAATGAGCAGTACTTCCTCCTTCTAATAAAAGTGCTGCAATTCCTGAAGAAGCAACGGTGTGTGCTATACATCTAGAAGATCTGACTTTATCCAAAAGCATGTCATAAAGGAATGTCTTATCTGAGCCTCCAGAACTATCAACAAAAATATTGCAGGTTGATTAGTCTCTAGAGCAGAAATTATTGAATCATATATAGCATATTGTTCTATATTTAAGCAGAAAAAGTTTCTTCAAGTCGATGTTGAAGGTGGTCAATATTATATTTGAATAGTTCTTCTATTAAATGATTATGTTGAATAAGTCTTTCAGAAGATGGAATTGGGATAGACATATTAGGAAAATTCTCAAGACTTGTTCTATTTTGAACTAAAATAATTCTAAATAAATTAAAGCTATATTATATTTATCAGTATCACAGGATTGATTTATTATATCATCAGAAAAAGCTGAGATATATTTTTCTCAAAGTAATTTAGGATTAGTAGGAAATAAAACATAAGTATAGTAGCAAATAAAGAACACAGCTGTGCTCCTAATTGTAATCGACTGGTTTTGTTCAAACATGAATCACATTTATTGTCATCTTGAAGCATGCCCAAGGCTTTACAGGCATCTTTAAAAGTTTGATAAACGATATTATTAATTGTTTAAAGATTGTCAAATGATTTTGCACCACATACAATATTTATAAGCATACAAAGATAAAAGCATTCGCCAGCTTTAGGATGAACAAAATACATCCGTCCAATAGTATTTCCTCTTTGGCATAGCTTCCATTCTTTGATTTGCCTATTATATATCAGTATATAGAAAAATCTGCTTATATAAAGTCAGATGTGTTTTGAAAATCCTGGTTAGCCTTAAACTATGCTATTAACATAGTCACAGTGGTTGAGCCATGCTGAATGACATAATCAACAGTGCTATTATCTTCAAAAATGATCATGTACTAGTCAGGAAGATGTGCTTGAAGACACATAATATCAGGTTTTTCATAGTGTAACTTATAGTAGAATAATCTCCAAGTAGATTCAAATGCTGAAATATAGTATACATCTAGAAAAAGATGAATTTCATTAATATCTCATGATTCTGTTTGATGTAATTGACTTACCTTACTAGTTGCATGATCATGGCCCTTATAAACATATTTAAAAAGATATTTGGTAGCAATTATAAAAGAATATATCTCAACATTGATATGAGCATCATATTTAGTTGCAAGGTAAAAATTGAGGCATGACCCAACAATTATTTAATTTTACACCTTTAATATCAACTGAGTTTCTATTATTAGAATAATGATATATAGAATAACTATTCTTATTCATAGATGTAGATGCGCAAAAATTATATAGGTACCTTTTAGTGCAGTTACCATCTTTTATATATGGGTCATTAGAAAAAGTGAAACCACATGGACTATGCATCATGGAGTATCAAATAGTGTCATAAGCTTTAGAATGAAATTTTTATCAGAGATTTTAGCTGAAATGATTGAATTAAATCTTCAACAGTTTTCAGTTTTTTCCAGATCAAAAATTAGAAGGATGTGAGAATGAGGAAGGCCACACTTCTAGAATTCAATAACATATATGTAACCTACAACAATTCTAAAAATGTGATGTTTCAAAATATCTTCTATTAAAGCTTGCAATTTTATATTAAAAACTCTTGCTATCAAGTTAAAAAATCTGATGCAAACTGATTATTGAGAAATTCTGCAGTGATTTTGGGCCAGGTAGGATTGTATGTAAAGGTAATGAAAAGATCAGGTTTACCTAATTTATATACAATAGCCATAGCATCTTGATATAATTGTTGTATTTGACGTGCCCTCTAGTAAAGCTTGAAGGAAGAATAATTCATTTTTCTATATTTGTTACTGGTAAATTTCAAGATAACTTATCCTGTGAAGTCAAAATATTTTGTAGACCACTATAAAGTTCAGTACAAAGTTTTTTCTAATTGTGCTTTAAAAAATTATGCCTATTTTGTTCAACGCATCTATTATATATTGCTGAAAAAAGCACCCAGCAAGATGAATACCACTTTGTTCTTTTGGTCTATGTACTTGTAAACAATAAGCATAATATTGCATCATAGTAATATACTTGTGAGATCTAACACCATCTTCTTTAAGTAAACTATCTTTACCAAGATCTTCAGTTGTGGTTTCTATATCTAAATGTGAAATATTAGAAATGTCTCGAACAGGAATATTTGGATGCTATCCATCTTCACTTCTAGGGAACAGTAGAACATAATGCAAAGAAGCATATGCTCTATTTAGTTTCAATATACGTTGTAAACCACTGGCCTGTGAATGGAATATTATATTATGATTATATATTTTAGGTCTATGATTAGTATCTCCAACTATAATGACTGCAACTTCTGAAGTATATAGAACATTAATAGCAGAATGAATCAGCTGCTCTAGAGTTCTTTATTATTATTATTAGGTTTTGAGACTGATCTTAATGCAAGATATTACCTGTCTGATGAAAAACCTGAACATATGAATTAATATTATGAAGCATGTTTTGAAGGTCAGAAAAAGTTACCTCATCCAAGGAAGGTATAACATTGTGCCTATTTTGTGCTTCATTTTTCATATTAAAACTATAAAACTGAGCAAATGAAGGCTGTTCTGTATCTAAATGAGAAATAAGAGACCCAATTCTATGATATATTTCTTTATATATACAAAAACTATAAGGGCTTCATGTTCCAGTAATGCATTTATTAATCTTTGTGCCAGCAGAAGTAAAAGCTAAAGCACTATTGTAAGTGCGTATATTTTGCCAAAAGTTGCGTGATCGGATATCATTTTGTGTAAGATAAGATAGCAATAAAGGTGGAGATTCTTGAAGATTCAGAAGCAATACCTTTCCTTATATACAGCAAATAGTTAACTTAGAAGAAGTTTTAGATGAATTTGGACATCTTTTATCTATTCATTTTAATGTACTACAATTAAGACATAAATGAATCATTCTTCCAAGGTTATAGCTCTTTAGTCTGCTTGAATCAAAAGGATATACTCGTGCCTTCAGAATGGAAACAGTTTTTGTAATTGTACTAAAAGATGTTTTAACAAAAGGAACAAAAGTCTGAGTGAAGTGCTTTTGAGAAACAGGGCTAAAAGGTTGTTCATTAAAAGGTAAATACATAGAATTAGTAGTAAAATTAGTAAAGAGCTCAGAAATAATACTATTTTGGCAGATCAACACTTTCTGATGATCATCTGATCAACAAAAAAACAAGAAACCAAACTACAGTCAGCGCTATAGAAGATAAGTAAATAATAAACTTAGTTTTATGAAAGTAGGTGTGTTGTTGATGAAGTACCAAGAGTGTAAAACTGGGGAGCAGTCTACTTTGGACTGGTTTTGGTAGAGGTCAAGCTCTTCTTCTGGCGGACTCCTCTGCCTATTCGGCATCCAAACCAGAAGGATATTTTGAAAACACAGAATGTCTAGGATGACACTAGGAGTATTACAAGC